CACTGAGGGTGGTGTCTCACTGATGGGGTGTCTCTCACTGAGGGGGTGTGTCTTCACTGAGGGGGTGTGTCTTCACTGAGGGGTGTCTTCACTGAGGGGGAGTGTCTTCACTGAGGGGGAGTGTCTTCACTGAGGGGAGTGTCTTCACTGAGGGGGAGTGTCTTCACTGAGGGGGGTGTCTTCACTGAGGGGAGTGTCTTCACTGAGGGGTGTCTTCACTGAGGGGGAGTGTCTTCACTGAGGGGGAGTGTCTTCACTGAGGGGGAGTGTCTTCACTGAGGGGGAGTGTCTTCACTGAGGGGGTGTCTTCACTGAGGGGAGTGTCTTCACTGAGGGGGAGTGTCTTCACTGAGGGGGTGTCTTCACTGAGGGGGTGTCTTCACTGAGGGGTGTCTTCACTGAGGGGGTGTCTTCACTGAGGGGGGTCTTCACTGAGGGGAGTGTCTTCACTGAGGGGTGTCTTCACTGAGGGGGAGTGTCTTCACTGAGGGGTGTCTTCACTGAGGGTGTCTTCACTGAGGGGTGTCTTCACTGAGGGGGTGTCTTCACTGAGGGGGTGTCTTCACTGAGGGGGTGTCTTCACTGAGGGGGAGTGTCTTCACTGAGGGGGCGTGTCTTCACTGAGGGGAGTGTCTTCACTGAGGGGGTGTCTTCACTGAGGGGGGTGTCTTCACTGAGGGGGTGTCTTCACTGAGGGGGAGTGTCTTCACTGAGGGGTGTCTTCACTGAGGGGTGTCTTCACTGAGGGGGTGTCTTCACTGAGGGGGTGTCTTCACTGAGGGGGTGTCTTCACTGAGGGGGAGTGTCTTCACTGAGGGGGTGTCTTCACTGAGGGGGAGTGTCTTCACTGAGGGGTGTCTTCACTGAGGGGGAGTGTCTTCACTGAGGGGGCGTGTCTTCACTGAGGGGAGTGTCTTCACTGAGGGTGTCTTCACTGAGGGGTGTCTTCACTGAGGGGTGTCTTCACTGAGGGGGTGTCTTCACTGAGGGGGTGTCTTCACTGAGGGGTGTCTTCACTGAGGGGTGTCTTCACTGAGGGTGTCTTCACTGAGGGGGCGTGTCTTCACTGAGGGGGTGTCTTCACTGAGGGGGTGTCTTCACTGGGGTGTCTTCACTGAGGGGTGTCTTCACTGAGGGGGAGTGTCTTCACTGAGGGGGTGTCTTCACTGAGGGGGTCTTCACTGAGGGGGTGTGTCTTCACTGAGGGGGTGTGTCTTCACTGAGGGGGGTGTCTTCACTGAGGGGGTGTCTTCACTGAGGGGTGTCTTCACTGAGGGTGTCTTCACTGAGGGTGTCTTCACTGAGGGGGGTGTCTTCACTGAGGGGTGTCTTCACTGAGGGGAGTGTCTTCACTGAGGGGGTGTCTTCACTGAGGGGGGTGTCTTCACTGAGGGGGTGTCTTCACTGAGGGGGGTGTCTTCACTGAGGGGTGTCTTCACTGAGGGGGTGTCTTCACTGAGGGGTGTCTTCACTGAGGGGGGGTCTTCACTGAGGGGAGTGTCTTCACTGAGGGGGTGTCTTCACTGAGGGGGTGTGTCTTCACTGAGGGGAGTCTTCACTGAGGGGGTGTGTCTTCACTGAGGGGGTGTCTTCACTGAGGGGGCGTGTCTTCACTGAGGGGTGTCTTCACTGAGGGGGTGTCTTCACTGAGGGGGTGTCTTCACTGAGGGGGTGTCTTCACTGAGGGGGCGTGTCTTCACTGAGGGGGAGTGTCTTCACTGAGGGGGTGTCTTCACTGAGGGAGTGTCTTCACTGAGGGGGTGTCTTCACTGAGGGGGAGTGTCTTCACTGAGGGGGTGTGTCTTCACTGAGGGGGAGTGTCTTCACTGAGGGGGCGTGTCTTCACTGAGGGGGTGTCTTCACTGAGGGGCGTGTCTTCACTGAGGGGGTCTTCACTGAGGGGGCGTCTTCACTGAGGGGAGTGTCTTCACTGAGGGGAGTGTCTTCACTGAGGGGGTGTCTTCACTGAGGGGGTGTCTTCACTGAGGGGGGTGTCTTCACTGAGGGGGGTGTCTTCACTGAGGGGAGTGTCTTCACTGAGGGGGGTGTCTTCACTGAGGGGGTGTCTTCACTGAGGGGGTGTCTTCACTGAGGGGGCGTGTCTTCACTGAGGGGGTGTGTCTTCACTGAGGGGGTGTCTTCACTGAGGGGGTGTGTCTTCACTGAGGGTGTGTCTTCACTGAGGGGGTGTCTTCACTGAGGGGAGTGTCTTCACTGAGGGGTGTCTTCACTGAGGGGGGTGTCTTCACTGAGGGGGGTGTCTTCACTGAGGGGGTGTCTTCACTGAGGGGGTGTCTTCACTGAGGGGGTGTCTTCACTGAGGGGTGTCTTCACTGAGGGTGTGTCTTCACTGAGGGGGCGTGTCTTCACTGAGGGGGTGTCTTCACTGGGTGTCTTCACTGAGGGGGAGTGTCTTCACTGAGGGGGAGTGTCTTCACTGAGGGGGAGTGTCTTCACTGAGGGGGGCGTGTCTTCACTGAGGGGGAGTGTCTTCACTGAGGGGGGGAGTGTCTTCACTGAGGGGGGTGTGTCTTCACTGAGGGGGTGTGTCTTCACTGAGGGGGTGTGTCTTCACTGAGGGGGTGTGTCTTCACTGAGGGGGCGTGTTAGACACGACCCCCTCAGTGAGGCAGATGTGATTGCTGCCTCCCCTGGTGCTTTTTCATTGCAGTTTCATGACGAGACCAGCCGAGCCTAAATATCTTTATACACACACGTGAAATAAGTTAACCTGGAGTATGGAAGGCGAGGACATGAAATGAAGGGGTCTAC